AGACAATAACGCAATCTCCAAACTTCCACTAATATTTAGCATATGTTAAAAAAATTATCTTAAAATTAAATAGATCTTCTTCTAAAAATTATCTATCTCTACATAATTAGAGCTCTCCCTCTATTCTTATTATAAAAATTTATCTATCAACAGTCCCTTAATCTATCTAAAATAATTTTACTATTAATAGAGTTTGATATAGGAAGGTTATTCAACCTCGCAAATTCAATTTCTAACATATTATTTTTCACTTGCTGAAATTGTTCTACGAACCTATCCTCATCAATCTTTAACATTCCTTCTGGTATATTAATAATTTCACCCATATATTTTCCTTAATTAAAATTTAACAATTAATATAATCGTAGGTATATAATATAGTGTACATTTTAAATGATAAATTGAATTTTGTAAATAAATTTATTATTTATAGGCTCTATGCACTTTTTATTAAAAAAAAACACCATAATAAACAAGATAGAAGAATAATTGCTCCAAGTTGATGGACGAGAGCAATAATAATAGGTACAGAATATAAAATAGTAATTACTCCAGCTGACATTTGTAGGGCTAATATAGTACTAATATAGCAAGATAATTTATTTAATTTAGGATGTTTTATTTTAAGTAATTGAAATATTAAAATCCCTATAGTGAAACAAACAATATAGGCGCCAATTCTATGGATAAATTGAATAAAGACAGGATCATGCCAATTAGCTAAATTAAAATTAAGGGTTATTTCTTGCGGGATAAATTTATCGCCCATTAATGGGAAACTATTATAAATAAGACCTGCATTAAGACCAGCGACTAGAGCTCCAAGAAAAATTTGCAAGTAAACCATTATAATTGATAATAAACAAACAAACTTTACATTTGTTAAGTTTGTTTTGGAAGAAATTAATAGAATATCAAAATTTTTGTTCATAAATTGAAGAAAAAGTAAAGTATAAATAGTAATAGCAATAATTAAATGTACTCCTAGTCTAAAGTGGCTAATATAAGGATGGTTTACAAGGCCACTTTTTACCATATACCATCCTATAAAACCTTGGGTACAAAATAAAATTAATATTGCAAAATGAGATAAAAGATTTTTTTTTTGAATTTGCCTCTTAGTGATACAATAAATTAGTGGTAATATGTATAATAGGAAGGTGATTCTTCCAGCAAAACGGTGGATAAATTCTAACCAAAATATAAATTTAAACTCTGAAATTTTCATATTGATATTATGAAATTTATATTCTGGTGAAGTTTGATATTTAGCAAATTCATTTTGCCAATCTTCATTATTTAAAGGAGGTATTACACCTGTTACTGGATTCCACTCAACAATTGATAGACCGGAATTAGTAAGACGTGTAAGACCACCAATAAAAACCATCAATATTACTGCAATACAACACACAAATAACCATTTCTTCATTAATATTTGTGTCATTTTGATAGTTGTGTTTTATATTAGTAATACTACAGAACCTAGATACCATGGCCATTATTATGCGAATGTTTTCTTTTCTCCATTTCGTGTTGAAAATGTGTCCCTTGAGATTTATGAATATTTGTCTCAGGAGATTTATATTTATTATAATCAGTTTGCATATTTTTTTTGAGATAATCATAAGTTGCTGCACAAGTTTTTATAGGTGTTTCAAAGCTAGCAGCGATCTTAGCAGCAATTTCTATAGATCTAGTTGTTGATTCTTTTCCTTCTTTACATGTAGGTTGTATAATAATTTTAGGTTTATCATGAAGAAACCAAGCTGAAAAAACATCTGGTTTATATATTTGTACAGTAGCTATTCCTATTTTATCTTCAACTATTATGCTTCCCTGATAGCCAGTAAGCTTTTGCAGCCAAGTTTGCCATAAAGATTTAGGTTTATCAAATGTAACTTTTATCTCACTATTATCTTTTAGTTTGGTAAATATATTAGTAATATCTACGTTATCTGACGTAAGTGCATTACTCAATTGATTGAAAACTTGATCATTATTTAGTTTACTGTTATCTAATTCATAACCTGGAACTATTTCAGTAAAATTTAATTCAAAAGGTTGTTCTTTTATTTCACTATATAATTGTTCTAAAAAAATACTGTCAAAATCTTTTTTATCATTAACACCACGTACATTATATTTGAATTGCTCAAATGTCATTTTTTTATTTTTTTCAATGCTTGAACTATGAAGATCAGTATTTAACATAATTGTTGCATAAGCTAAAATATAAGCTGCATCTTCATTAGCAACATCACTATTTTGGTTTTGGTTGCAATATTCATTTCCAAAAGCTTCCATCAAATTATTTATTGGCCCTGCTTCACCAGGTAGTTTAAAGGTTTTTAAGTAATCACGTAATCCTTCAGTAAATGACTTTTCCTTAAAGTTTAATTGTTTTACAAAATAATTTAATGTATTTTTATTCTCTTCTCTTCCACTACCAAGATATTCACCTACATAATCTAGATTTAAATTCTCCCATTCTTTGAAAAAAAACTTAGCTATTTCTTTTTCTACACCCACATCTACTAATACATTATCTCGATAAATTTTTCTGATTGCTTCAATTCCAGCTTTTGGCTTCATATTAAAAGCTATAATTAGTTCTATTCTTTTATTAGTAATTTCATTACTAACTAAGGTATGTACGTCATTAACTATCATATATTTTTTCTTAAAATTAAATTATTCTTTTAATATTGGTAACATTATTTGTACTAATAATCCCCCTAATTCTTGACTATCTTTTAGTAATATTGCGCCATTATGATGTAGTATTATTTCTTTTGTAATAGCAAGACCAAGACCAACACTACCTGAATTATCTAAATTTCTTGATTTTTCTGAACGGTAGAATGGGTTAAAAACTAATAACTTTTCTGAATCTTGAACTCCACAACCATTATCCTCAATATCTATTAATAAATGAGTTGTAGTAGAATGTAAAGTAATCTTTATTTTAGTAGCATATTTTATAGAATTACTTAATATATTTGATATTGCTCTTGCAAATGCATTAGGTTTTATTTTTATTATTTTGTCTGTCATTATAACTAAATCAATATTTATATGATTCCATTTAGTTAGAAATGGTTTTATCCATGATATTATAGATATTAATTTAAATCCTTCTCCTTCTTCTCCTTTAACAAAATCAAGATATGATGTTATCATTTGTTGCATTGTAAGTATATCTTGTTTTAATTCCTCTACTTCTTCTGAATTTTCCATTAATTCTAGTTGTAATTTCATACGTGTTAATGGAGTTCGTAGGTCATGAGAAATCATAGCAAGCATTTCAATTCTTTTAGTAACTTGCCTCTCTATTCTTGCTTTCATTTTAAGAAAAGCTATGCCAGCTTTTTTTATTTCTTTTGCTCCAGATGGTTTAAATATTTGTGTTACTTGAACTCCACGACCAAATTGATCTGCTACATCTGTTAATGTTAAAATAGATTTAATTTGATTTCTAGCAAATATTAAAGAAGTAGAAATAAGTAAAATTGTTAAAAATATTAGCCAGAGAATAAAAATATAAGAAGTGGGGTTTATTAATAATTTTGTAGGGAAAGTAATATTTACTACTCCTGTATTTAGTTGAAATAATATTTCAATCTTTCCATGCTTGTTAAGTCTAACAATATTTTTATTATTAATTTTTATATCAAGAATGTTTTTAAAAATTCCTAATTCCTCATTAATTTTTGGTTGTTTTAATGGTAATTTCATTCCTAGGTGAAATTGATATGATAAATTTAAATAATCACCTACTATTTTAGTTTTATCCAGATCATTATATTGTTCTAAAAATGAATGAATTTCATTAGTAATAATACTACTAGTATAGTATGACACATTATACCAATGTCGATCATAAAATAAGAATATTATTAGGATTTGTCCTATTAATGTAGGAATAATTATGATTAATACAAATCTGGCGAGTAGTGTTTGAGGTATAAATTTATGTATAAAGAGCATAGCCTTCATTACGGATAGTTTTTAGATATTTTGGTTCTTTTGTGTCATCTTCAATTTTACTTCGTATTCTTACAATTTGTACATCAATAGAACGAATACTATAGTTACCCATGAGTGTTGATAATTCATCACGGGAAATAGTTTGTCCATTACTGCTAATTAATATTTCTAATAATTTTTGTTCTGTAGAACTTAGTAGTATAACTTTATCCTTTTTTTTAAATTCTTTTGATTCTAAATTATAATAACTATTACCTAATCGTTTGATTTTTTGTTCTTTTTTGTAATTATTATAGTTATTTATTAAATTTCTAATACGAATTAATAATTCACGTGGTTCAAAAGGTTTTGTAATATAATCGGATGCCCCAGACTCTAACCCTCTTATACGATCATCTATCTCTGAAAGGGCTGTTAGCATAACAATAGGAGTTTCACTCTTATTAGATTTTATAGTTTTGACAAAATCAATTCCATTAATTCCAGGTAGCATGACATCTAAAATAATTAAGTCATAAATAAAATATTGTAATAATGATTTAGCTTCTTTAGTAGAAAGAGCTGTAGACACTAAAAAATTATTTTTATACAAAAACTTTCTTAAAAGTTTTATTATACGATGATCATCATCGACTACAAGTATATGAGGTTTAGAATCTTGCATATTAATTCAAATAGTATTCAGTTTCCAACTTAATTATAAATAAGTAAAAATTAGGTTTATAATATTTATTTTTGGATATTTAAATATATTCTAACCTAATTAACTTTCAATTGCAAAATAATTACTCAGTAGGGTTGTTGTTATATAATGGATGGTGGGTCATTGCTTTTTTTAAGTGATTTATTTGAACATGTGTATATATTTGAGTAGTACTAATATCTGCATGTCCAAGTAGTTCTTGGATTACTCTTAGATTTGCACCTCCTTCTAATAAATGGCTAGCAAAACTATGACGTAATAAATGAGGTGAGATATTTTCTGGATTAAGACCAGCCTTAATTGCTATTTGCTTTAATAGAATAGCAAAATTTTGTCTTGTCATATGGCCTTCATTAGATATAGAAGGAAATAAATATGTTGCACTTTTTATGTTTTTCTTATTTATAAAATTGTTACGAATAGGTAAATATTCAGTAATAGTTTGTATAGTTTTTTCATTGATGACTGTCATTCTTTCTTTCTTACCTTTACCTAAAATAGAAAATATTTTACGTATAGTGTCTGAAGATTGATTTATTAAAATGTCAGTAATCTTTATAGTAATAAGTTCAGAAACACGTAATCCACTAGCATATAGTAAATAAACCATTGCTTTCAAACGTATAGAGCTTGCTGTCTTATTATGATCACAATAATTAAGTAGGGTTTTAACTTCATCAATTGATAATATTTTAGGTAGTTTAGTTTTATATTTAGGTAGTTCCACCATTAAGGTCGGATTATATTTTATATGGTTTTCACTAATTAAAAACTCATAATATCCCTTTATTGTAGATATTTTCCTATTGATTGATCGTGCTGTAAGATTATTTTGTGATAAATATTCAATCCAATCTCTTATATTTTCTGCTACTATGTTGAACTCTGATAATTTATTTTTTTGTAAAAAATTCTGGAAGTCTAATAGATCACGTTTATAGCTTAATAAAGAATTGTAAGAGATATTGCGTTCAGCTAACATCATTTCTAGAAATTGTTCAATAAATTCCATAAGATCTAATAATTAATTAATCTTTATAGTTGGCGTCCTTTATGATCTTTAGGTTTAGTATGTTTAACAAGTTTTTTTTTGAGATCATCAATTACAAGTTGATGGCTTTGTTCTTTTCTTATTTGTTCTTTAGTTTTACTAGAAGGAGGAGTATTAGTTTTTGTTCCTAAATCAATATTTTCTAGATCTGCACTATATTCTTCACTTTTTTCTTTTTTAGGTTCTTCAGGTTTATGAAAAAGATTATATACTGTTTCCTGTAATTCAGGAGAAATATTACTTATTGGCCTATTATCATCAATATTAAATCTAGTACGTATTTCTTGTGTTATATTATCTATAGCTTTAGTACTGATCGTAAAATCTGGTTTTTGAAGAAATTTAATTCTAACTTTTGACAATAGAGTTTGTTTTTTTCTTAGTTGCTCTGAGATTAGTGTTGTTAATTCTTCTTTATTATCCATTAAAGTTTTATAAGGAATTTTCGTTAAAGATAATAATAATGCATTAATTTTGTCCTGTTGTTCTTCATTAATATTAATTTGTTTATTTTTATATAATCCTTTAAAGTTATCAACTGAATCTTTAATTATTTTCTTAGATAATGGCGTAATAAATTCTTTTGTAATATTTGTTATTTTATCCTCAAAAAATGTAACTTTTTTGTCATGAATTTTCATTTCTTCTTTTGTTTGAAGTTTAGCCTGATCTGAAATCTTTAACTTAACTAAATCTTGTACATATTTTCCCCCAGGCCTAACTAATTCATGTTCTAATTCATAAAATTGAGCTTGATATTTAAGTGCTTTTTCTTCACTTATATTATCTTTTTTAATTTGTGCTGCAATTTCAAATGTTAATAATGGTTTATATAACATGAAGGCAATACTTTCTGCCATATATTGGTTTATTATTGTTTCTTTCATTTCTTGTTCAGTCAATTGTGCTATTTTTAGATTTTTTAATAGCATTTTTTTTTCTAATAAAGAGTTTATTTGAGTTTTACTTAATTCATCTATATTTTGTTCATTTTTTAATAATTCATCTTTCTTTGATTGAGTTAGTTCATCAGTACGTGGTTCATTTTTTAATAATTTATCTTTTTGAGGTTTAGTTAACTTAGATATTTCTATTTCTTCATATAATGAAGTTAATTTTTGCTTGGTTAGATTATTAAGATAAGGCTGATAGAATGAATTTTTTAATGTACTATAGTGATCTAAAATAGCAGGTGGTATAGTAGATATTTTTATATTGTTGTTATCATCTAATCTTATCGTCATACCATGGCGTCTTGCTTCTGTTGATAATAAATCTCTAATAATTGGTCCACTACCTTCACGCGCTGTAAATTTTAAATCATATTTGCTATTAACTAGTTGTTCTGCATTCTCCATTATTTTAGAGTTTAATGTATGAAGAGCACTATTACTTAATTCTAAATCTAGTATCTTAACAAAATTATCAGCAGCTGTTTTTTTATTAGAAAAAGCATGAACTATTTCTATAATATCGTCTTTCTTTACTTCTCCTTTTATTATTCTTTCAATTGTTTCATTACTAACAAACTTTGTATATATTTCAGTGTCTTTATTATTGATTTTTGACATAACATACCTCATCTATTAGTTTATTAATTAACTTATAATATACTATTTAAAAAAATTATTAAAAAGGGTTTTTAGTAAATATTGAGGATAACTTATAGTTTTCCCTTATTAAGTGTGAGATATAAGTTCAATAAACTACTTCCTCTTTTTACCTATATTTAGGTAATATAAACTAATTATAATGAAACTTAAAATAGTATTTATATATAAAACTATATTAGATTTAGCCTTTAATAGTATCTTTTTTACTAATTAACTAAATGTGATATATTTTAATATTTCTTTCAACTAAATAACATATTTATATAATTAATTCTAGTTTATACATTAGCTCCATGTAAAACTACTGTCTCTTTACCAAGTAATGTAGAAAATTCTTCAGGAGAAGGTACTACTATTTCCTGTAAATCTCCATTTTGTAGTATAGAGTGTATGTTTAATTGAATTGAACTAAGCATTGATGCTAGTTGTTCATTAGTAATTTTATTGAATTCACTGATTGCATCACCAGCTTTTTGATCAGATCTAACTGTTGTTAATACATCTATAACGGTTGCAATACTAAGCATTATTAAATTATTAGTAGATTCGAATATTGTTAACGGGATAAGAGAAGCAAATAATCGAGCTACATCATTATAATAAAGGTCTTGAAAGAATATATTATTTAGTAAGTGTATCGTCTGTAGTTTCCTTAATAAGGTGCTTAGCACACCATGTAGATAATAATAAAGAGCCAATACGCATTAATTTTACTGTTGTACCACAATAAAACATTGGATCTTCATAATAAGAAACGTTTTGATCTCTAAAAGAAAAATATACATATTCTAAAATTAATGAGCAAAATGCAACACCTAAAGTTAAATTTTTCCATTGTTCATATTTATGTCCATTCCAATTATTATTGAGTTCAGCTATATTTTCTATATTGTTAAAGTATTTAGAATATATTTCTTGAAGCTTATCTCTTTTATTTTGGTCTGATCCAATATGCTGGTATATTAAACGAAAATAAGAATTAATTGAATCCTTATTCACTACTTGCTCATTACTATTAATTAGAGTAGGTGCTACTTCCTTACAAAGATATTGAATTAATATACCATTATTAAAGTTTGCAACCTTGCTCTGTTCTTCTATTACACCAGAAGGTGTAAACCAACGTAGAGCAGTATATCCAAGTATAAGATCTTTTACATTACTTTGAAACAAATCGATAGGTTGTAACGATAGATTTGCGGCACATCTGAAACATGTTACCATAGTATTTATTGTTTGATTTGAAAAAGTAGGGGTATTTTCAAATAAAAATCTGATATCATTAATTATAGTATCGTTTATATTATCCTTTTGTAAATACTCAAACATATTATTATTAATTTCTTGAGTTTTCTTATATGAATATATAATGTTAGGGAATGATACTAAAAGTTGTAACATAGCAAGAGCTGTGCTGGGGAGGGCAACAAATTCATACCATTTACTATCTTTATCAATAGTTGTGTATCGCAAACCTAGAACTACAGATACTATAGAAACATAAGCACATGCTATTTTTCCTGCATTATCATTTACAATGGTTGATTTGTCTAATAACCAACTTATAAATTTATGTTGAGAGTTAAACTTTATAGTTGCATATTGTATTAGATCCTGTATTGATAGTGCATTTTCACCTATATATTCTGGTGTTTTAAGAGAATATATAAGGTCTAAGTAAATTTGCTTTTCCCTCATATAGTTCTGTTGTTGTTCTTGTATATATTCTTGTTGTTGCTTATAAGATAATGATAAATTTGGATTTCCTTTATATAAGATTCCTTTAGCTAGATAACGATACAATAAATATTCTTTATTAAGAATAAAAGGGGTGTTTTCTATTTCTTGTGCAATTTTTAATAATTCTTTATATTGTTCTATATTTTTTATTTCTAGAGAAAATATCTCTTGTGCTAATACTATAAATGTATAAAAAGTTGCTTTCTCTATATTTATACCTTGAGATCGTTGCTGAAACATTGAGTAAGTAGGGCTAGTACTATTTATTTCTGCCTTTTGTTCAATCATTTTATGAAAGAAATTATTATAACCCTCAACATGCCTAATAAGATTTTTCCACTCTTCATCACCAATATTTTGACCTTGGTATTGTTTTGAGTTAACTATTTTGCTTATTTCTCTTTTAAATTGCTCAGTACTTAAATAATTTTTCTGTTCTACTGATAATTCTTGCAAATTAGTATTTGCAAAATTTATTTTTAATGCATCATCAAGATTAAATGTTACTACATTAAATATAGTGTTACCTAGTCTCTTTATAATGGAAGGCGTATAATTATATAAGGGGAGTGTTGCGAGATGATGAGGGATAGGTTATAATGTGATAAGAAAATAAGATAGTAAATAAATGTCAGAGCATCAAATAACAATGGTCAGTTTAG